CTCATTTAAAAATGTAACCAAAATGTAACCCAACAGTTGGGTTAGTCCATATTTGACCCAACATTTTAGAGTGTAGGCCTAGGCCTACTAAATAAAATACTCACATGGTTTTAGTAGCTGATTCAGGTTAAAGAAACTAAATGTGTGTCGCTGGAGTTTTTTCTTATGAAATGTGACCCTGGACCACAAACCCAGTCTTAAGTCGCTTGGGTATATTTGTAGCAATAGCCAAAAAAACATTGTATGGGTCATGTGCCAAAAATCATTAGGGTATTAAGTAAAGATCATGTTCCACGAAGGTATTTTGGAAATTTCCTACCGTAAATATATCAAAACTTAATTTTTGGTTAGTAATAGGCATTGCTAAGAACTTCATTTGGACAACTTTAAAGGCGATTTTCTCAATATTTCGATTTTTTTTTTTGCACCCTCAGATTCCAGATTTTCAAATAGTTGTATCTCGGCCAAATATTGTCCTATCCTAACAAACCATACATCAATGGGAAGCTTATTTATTCAGATGATGTATAAAACTCAGTTTAAAAAAATTGACCCTTATAACTGGTTTTGTGGTCCAGGGCCACAAATAGAGTATGTGAACGGTTGCATAAATGCTTAGACTAGTCTTAAAGTTAGTCATCTCATTTTTTAAGACTAGTCATAATTCTTAATAACTGGTCATCAAGTCAGTTACATTAAAACGTAGATTGGTCTAATTTGAATCCGAAAAAGAGACTAATTGCTCCCTGGCTTTATGCAGCCCTTTCCTTTCTTTCTTTTTTAATTAATTTTATTGTGGTGACAATTTAATCAGCACTCTTTACTCCATTAATCCATGGTCACACTTTGTAAAACTTTAGAGAACAACCAGCTCAGCCAGCCCTCTAGAAAAAGAAACGCGGACAAGCGCACTTGTTGATTTGAGGCAGGACAGAGCTAAATAGTATTTCGCTGCAGAATAAGAATGCTTGGCACCGCACGAGGGGGGGAAGGAAATCTGTTTTCCACTGCTGTGCAGGACTCACTTCCCTGCAGTGCACACTTGAGCACATGGACGCAGAAGTGCTTTGAAATGACACCTCGTATGGACTAGACCATGGTATATTTGTCAAAGAGAACACGAGGAAGTCATGCCAAAGGGTCAGGTCTCTGGAAGATGCGAATAAAACCCAAATACCACAGTGTTGCTGTGCTACTGTCAACTCTCTGCACAGGAATGAGAGGAATATTGCTGTTCCACTTGGGCCAGTTTATGCAATAAACGCAGACAGTTCTCCATATACCAAAGCATTGCCAGCGGCGACTGATTTGCTGGGTCAATCTCGCAACGATTGCACCCAGGTTTGCGTTGACCGCCTGCGACAGCTGCATTTGCGCTCTGGAGAAGCTCTCGCGCATGGGACCTACCAGAGAGGCTCAGAGATGTTCTCGTGGAATATGGACAGAATGATTGATGTGGAAGCTCCAGAACGGTAAACGACCCGCGTGCGCAACAATGCAGCTAATCGTTCAGAGGCGACGGATCCGCACACTGCGCTTGGTTTGGTCGCTCATGGCCGTGGTCGCGCTGTCCCTGGCCGTGTGCAGTGCCATATTTACAGTGTGGACAATGCGACAAACGCAGGACCTGTCGAGGTCTTTCCAAACTCTGCAGAGGCGCTTAGAGCAGGTAAACGCGGTCGCCCGTTTGCTCTGCTTTTTGTCTTTTCGTGTGCACGTCAGACGCGAGCATGCATTCCCAAGCACATTTGTCAAAGCAGTTCTCACTAATCATGCAGTGATTTTGCAATTATGCTGTTTTCATTCTTTTAATCACGAAGGATCTAGTAAGCAAATTCAAACAGTCGCACAAAACAGGGCTAATGCAGAGAAAAATACGGCCAATTTCATCAGAGATTATGGAGAGAATAGTGAATCACGGGGGAGTACCCCGTGTTGGCAGGGGGAGTACCAGCACTTCTTTTTTCCACTTCAAGCACTGGGCACAGTACAGTTTTTGCGCACTCGGTTACTGTATATGGAGAGTGTAGGTCCAAATGCACTTTGCTTGGAGTAGATTGAAAGTCCAGATGGACAGGTACTCACTTCACTTATAGGCACAACCGCGGTTTCTGTTGCCAGACATTTTTTAAACTGCTGACAAAGCGTTCACATGCTTGTCACATTATTTGTCAGCTTTTTATTATCCACAATCATTCCTCAAAATATATTGTTTTCCTAGCCCAGAATAATGCCCCTTAGGGACAGTCACAGCTTCAAGTTGAAACGGTCAGCCAGAAATAACAGTCGTTTTAACCATTTAGGTGATCAGTCAATGCACATTTTGACGCACTAGCGGGAGTTTAGGCAGCTCCCCTGAGGCGAGATTCGAGAGTCTCTGGAGAGGGGCAAAGAAAAAAATTATTAAAGAATTATTGCCTTTAGTTGAACAGTAGCCATAGCTGTTAATCTGTCTCATTTCATAGGAAGATTATTTTCTGCATGAGAAAGGTTAAGAAAGCCAACAACTAATTTTTCTTGCAGTGTCTAATTTTAATATTTTTTTTTTCTAAGTTTTGCCTCTTTGTTGACTGAAACCAGCTCGTGGGGTGAAAGCAGAAAATACTGTGCATGGTGCCTGTTACTGAAAACAAAGGCTAGGAGTAGTGTAGAACAGAGCTGAAAGGAACTATTTCACCATCTGCTTTGACAATCAGGACTTTAGCTGGTGTATAAATTATTCTAGATTAATCCATGATGTTTGCATCTGCACAGCTGTTTAATGCTGGAAGTCGCAGGAGCTCCACATGGATGACTCTTATCTGCATCCCAGAGAGTTTTGTCTCTTTTTCCAAAACATGCCTTTCTTTTGTCTTTATCTCGCAAGCGGGAGGGAGGAAAGGAAATGGACGAAAAGTGGCCTCTCATTTTGAGAGTAAGTGGACAGTATTGCAAATCACTTTATTTAACAATGAAAAACCCAACTGCTGTTTTTCCCCCAGACTAATATATATATATATATATATATCATTTTTAACAGTAACCAACGATTCCTTCCAAAAGGGTGAGTTATTTGGGAGTATATATATATGTGGAATATTCTCTAACAGTACGTGTCATATGGAATATTCTCTAATAATGTGTGTGTCCTAGTGGGCAGTGAGGGAGTCATTAAAGGATGGACTGAGGAGCAGCTGAATATGAGCAGGGCGGTGCATTATAATCCAGAGACTGGCACCTTCAAAGTGGAGCGCAGCGGCGTCTACTTCCTGTACTGTCAAGTGAGTTCCAGGCACATTGCCTGCAGTGGTATCATCTACATATGCTACCTTTTTGTGTGTGGATGTGTTTGTGTATATCAAAATTGTTGTGCCCTTTTGGTCTTAATAAACATAATACTTAATAATTGAGGCAGCAAACAGGATGCAGAATTGCAATTTGAATTATAAGGTAGTAGAATTAAAATTCCAAGAAATTCATATAACTATTAACATATAACTAGAAAATAAAAGTTTTCAAAAGCCTTCATATTTGAATGTGTATAGATATTTTGTACAGAGAATGAAGATAGATAGACCTGGGGTGATGAAACCCTGCTCTGGATAAACAACTGTTTGATGAGTAAAATGTAACAGAAAACACGTGAAATGGAGTAACGAAGAGACTGTTATATTCTTACCTTTATAGTCCAAAATATCCATTCAGGAAAAACTCGATAGTATAATCGGCAATATGTGAGGATGAGCAATGCTAGAGCCTTCATGTAAATAGGTCAATATGCTGCATTCATCCAATCAATGTCGCTGACACTGCAAATATGCAAATAAGAACATTAACCAAGGGTTCAGGAATGTACAGTGTGAAACGTCAGCGTATGAATACCGAGGATTCATTGTTAACCCCAGGTGTAGATTGAGCAGTGTGAAATGTGAAACAAGATATGATTCCATTTACCCAGGGTTTCAAATGACCCAAGGTTAACTATTTCAAGGGTGAAAAGCCCTTTTCTGTGGTTTCTGTTAAATCAAATCAAAAGGTTTCTGGTTTAGTCATAACTTATTTCTTTTGCTCCCTGTTGAAAGCCTTTTGCTATGTCTCCTGCTCTTAATTGGTCATTCCTGTTTCACTTGTTCTGTTTCTGCATTTCCACCACCAGGTACACTTCAACGAGAACCAGAGTCAGTACGTGAAGCTCGAGGTGTCTGTTCCTAAAGGCCCTTTGCTCCAGTGCATCGAGGGGTATGGAACCACACCAGCGTCTGGCTCCCACAAGTTTCACTTCCTAAAGCCTTGCCAGGTCTCTGGCCTCCTACGCCTTAACAAGGGCGCCGAGCTGAAGGCGGTCACCGGAGGTTCCTTCAGTCTGCAGATGTCAGGCAAACACTACTTTGGCCTCTTCAAAGTTAACTAGAGGCACAGACAGTTTTCCAGACACCTCAGCTGTATGAACAAAATAGTTTTATAGTTTTCCACAGATCACTGGCCTTAAATTACCTAACCTAAACCTGTCTCTTTGAACCTGGCGTTGCCTTAAAAGAGGAAATTTTGACTCAGTGAAAAACGTTTCTATAATCAGCTGTCCATGGTCACGGACGACCCCTTTATGAACACAAGTGTCCTTCTATGAAGATGTCATCGGGATGTTAATGACTGCACAACTTGCCTTGCTGGACCAATTTATGGAGAATAATTTGGTACTCTGTCGGTTTGGCTGCAAATGCCTTATTAAAAGCAAACCAGCACAATTTCTACTATATAAATATAGCATTTAATTACAGCATACCAGAGACATTGCTCCAGCAGCTTGGTTGACTTATATACTGGCATAACCAGTTTGACCAGAGGGACGATGAATTTTCAGCAGCGTTGCAGGCCACTACAAGTATGAGAGGTTTCACCACTGGTTACTTGGCTGGACCAAAACAGAGTTGCCCTAGTTCTTGAACTGCCTTACCACTGGATGTGTTTTAGTGCAGAAAAATGAAGGTTTTGGCTGGTCGTTATGAAAACTCAAGAGTGACCAAATATGCATCAAATAATACAAGAAACTTTACTTTTGTTGTTGCATCAATTTGAAACAACAAGCCAGAATTTTTTTTTTCCCCAAACACACTGTCACTGTGACATATGAAACATATATTAATATTTATCGATGAAAAGGCAGTGACTTATTAAAGCAGATACTTTAAACTTTTGTTATACTGAAAGTGGACTGTGTGTACATATTGCATGAAGTTGATGACATGGATGGCACAGACCTTTAAAAAAGTCACAGTATGCCTTTAGTTTTTATATAATGTGCAATTTCATGTTATATTTTTTAAAAGGTAAAGTTACAGATTTTTACACCATCGTAATTTCATTTAATCTCACTAATTAGAAATGTATGAAACCACTGGTGACTCCAATCTGTCAATGTCTACCTGACCTACCGCTCCTGAAGCCTTTCGTAAATCTTGTCAATACTGTCAATTAAATCTGAAATGGAAATTACAACCGCTGTTCGAAATACACTTTGCTCCAAATGGGTTTCCTAATAATCCCGCCCGCAACTTTTATTCTCGCTGTAGTATTATTGTTGTTGCCGCTGCTGCCATATCGTGAAGGTGCTGTGTGTTTCGTTGTGAAAGCGAAACTACTTTGTTTGGTCTTCCAAAAGAGGACGATATCCGCTTCATCATGCCTAGAGCTGATCTGTGCTGGTCGCTGAGGAAATACATCAACTTTGCGCTGTGGATCGCCAGATCGGCTTTCACCATGGACGAAGCGGAGTCCAGCCCGGGGTCGTCACATGTGGTTGCCGCTCCTTCATCGAATCCGCCAGCTAAGCCGTTCTCAAGCCCGCCCGCCTCTGCTCACTCTAGCCTCCGGCCTCCGCTCACTCAAAGCTGCGGTGTGTGACGCTGTTTCGTTGTGAAAGCGAAACTACTTTGTTTGGCCTTCCAAAAGAGGACACGACTAGAAATCAGTGGTTAAGTTGTATTTACAACACTGTTCCAGAACAGTTTAACCCAAATATTCAGATGTGTGCAGCGCATTTTATGGAGGACTGTTTCCTGATCCTGGTAGAGTAGACTACAATGCCGGCTGTTCTGACTCACAGACTGTAAGTAAGTTTTTTTATATTTAAAGGATTTGCCACTGATGATTCAAAAGTGAGTTTTGAGCAGTGTAGATTAGCACTTGTTGTTTGTTGTTTCTCCGATCACAAATGCAGACATGGTTTTATGTTTATGCGGCGCAATGCAACGCAATGCGTAAAAAGACAGTATAAGTCATTATAATCTGTAATTATGTCACCACTGGATGCAACAAATGCCTCGTTTATAACGGGTTTTAATGTTTATGTCTCGTCGCTCCAGCCTGACAGGGCATCACAATATGGTAAGGGACGTAACATTTCCGTCACACGCTTGAGGTATTCGGCCAATCACAACGCACTGGATAGCTGTCCAATCAGAGCACACCTCGCTTTTCAGACCGATGAGCTTTGTAAAAATCGACGCGTTTCAGAAAGCCGGGGTATAGAGGAGAAACAATAATGTACAGTATGTGCAAAATAATGTGCTTTTTGAACCTTAAACCGCATAAACACATTTCATTACACCAAATACACAAAATAATGTTCTTTTTAGCAGCATCAAATCGATATCGTTTCTTAAAAATGTGAATCGAATTAAAATCGAGATATCGATATTTTTTACCCAGCCCTATTAAAAATTCGTAGTCAAATAGGACAAAATAGTACGACTTTAAAAGACATTTGAACATTTGCTTGATATGTTTCATTTAAACATGTACGTCTGACTGACTGTACCAAAGTCGAGAAGATTATTAGCATGTTCCATTCGGTGTGTCGAAATGCTCTTTGTGGTGTAGTTTTTGACCAGACAAAAACATGAACATGAAATTAAGTAATCATCACAGTAACGGTTCCTGGACTCGTGGATCGGTGAGTGAGAGAGTCAGTTGTGAATTCAGTAACGGTCCTGATTCTGAATGATTCACTGATTCAAACCGCTAGCGAGTTCGAGGCGGTTTTGTGAATATTTTTGACTGAACCGGTTTATAAGAGTCACTTGTTCACGAATCGGACATCAGTGCTCGCACTGCATAAACGGCAGGGTGTAAGACACCTTTACAAGATGATTTCTGACGTAACCGCAATGGACACACAAAACATTCCCGACTGTTGTTAGTAGCAGTGTTGGGGAAAGTTACTTTTAAAAGTAATGCATTACAATATTGCATTACTCCTTAAAAAAGTAACTAATTACGTTACTTAGTTACTTTTTATGGAAAGTAATGCGTTATATTACTTTTGCGTTACTTTTTAAATTTAAGCAGGGCTTGATTGTTTTTAATATAAGAAGTTATATTTATAGCAAATATAAAAGCCCTTTCACACCAAAAAGTGTAATGAATAAACCTCAGGCTGAAGCAAAAGTAAATTCACGTCTGTACAGTAGAACGCAGGAGAAGAAACACTCTTCAGCAATAAAAAAACAAAGCACAATTGTTAGTTTATCTAAAGTCATTTTTGCTTATTAGTATGGTTGAACTGGATTATCAAAGGTCAGCAGCAAAGACATTGGTTAATAAAATGGGATTAGATACATTTGTGTTATTTTAACATAAATTGTTGCAGGTTTGCGTCATGTTCTGAGTTTGCATTTCACTGTTTTAATTCATTTTGATGAATACTACATCTGTTTTTTGTGAGTGGGATGAATTAATGCACATTCACATGTAGTCTAGAACTACAGTAACATCATGTTCACACAGCGCACACAACGCCTCTGTACTTCAGATTTCTCCCAATATGGGGACAGGAGACTTGTCAGTCAATAAATGGGAAAACAAAGTAACTGGCATTACTTTTTTGAAAAAGTAACTCAGATATTTTCTTGTAAATTAAAAAAGTAATGCGTTACTTTACTAGTTACTTGAAAAAAGTAATCTGATTACGTAACTCGCATTACTTGTAATGAGTTACCCCCAACACTGGTCAGTAGTGAGTATTATTTTAAATTACTGTTGCAAATTAAATTTTTTGTTTAGTCAGTCTGGAGCCCTGCAGTAGAAATAGCAATGAACCGATAAAAATCTCCCAACCTTCTTTACTTCATAAAAAGAAAAGCAAAACAGAAATTGTTCATTTGAATTTTTATTTTATTACAAACAAAACAAAACAAAAGAGAGAAAGATGCATTATTAACATGTTCCGTTCGGTGTGCCGAATGTCGATCACATCAATGTCACTGACTGTCTGGAATCACAACGTACATAGTGACACTTAGCAGGAAACAATCAAAATGCAAAAAAGGCTGACAACAAAAATATTAAAAGACAGAAATGAAAAATGGACAGAAAGTGCTTGATTTGTCAACTCTCCCAAATAATACCAAGCACTGAAATCAACAATATTTCAGTTTCATCAGAAGAACTATACTGGGACAAGAGCAAATAAATTAACATTTCAACTCTCAGTTGTGGCCTAGCTAGGAATAGTTCAAATGCAGCCATATACAAGAGTTCACATCTGCTGATTAACCCTTTACAGTTGTATTACCATTTAAGGCGATTACATTACAAGGCTTGCTTTTGTAGGAGCCAAAGATCATAAAGAAACACTGCAGAAGGAATTTCATTTGCTGATTTGAATATATGCATTCATATGTTTTCAATTTCATGGTTACATGTGATCCACTGCATACAAGTTATTAGTTTGCATTTGCAAGGCCCAAATCTAGATACAAGTGATGTCCGTTAGATAGCAATGATATCAATCAATCTGAAGTCCTTTTGACCTCTTTGTGGAATATTATTACAAGAGGTCCGGTATAGAGAAATGTCATGGACCAAACATACAATGCATCAATGTTTTGACTGTTTTTTTTTTATTATTATTTTCATTTGGTAGAAGCTTCGCAATCAAGGACAACATCAAGAGCAACAACAATAATCTTAGTTGTAATAATCAGGTTAAAAACAGGAGAACACAATGAAACTGAGTTTAAATACGCAAACAATATCAAAGAGCTTGTAAAAACAAGTAGAAATGTGAAGAAAGGATAGGACTGAGATGTAAGCGATTCGTTTGAATGAAAGATGGTGAGGGTGAAGTGATGGGGGGATGACAGGGAAAGAGTCAAAGGGGAGTTTGGAAAGTGTAGGACTGCCAAACGTGCTTCAGTAACAATCTTAAACACTATTATGGAGGTTTAAGAATGCTTTTGAACACTCTTCACCTCACTGTAAATACATAGTTAAAAAGGCAGGGAACTCTACATATCAATGCTTGATGTCCCAATATAAGGCTAAATAAACTTCATAACAAACTTGTCTTTTTATCCCAAGACAATACTGCAGCCAATACTGTTTTAATCAAACATTATACATTACTTCCTTACTGTCGTGGTAGGTTATAAACTTTACCTCGTGTTTTTTCTTTTTTTTGAAAGATGAAGTAAACATACCAGGGTACTGCTATTTTTCCCCCTCTTTTTTTACGTAGAAATATGTGTGTATCCTCTCAAACCACCCAAACCACCCAAATCCTCTTAAAGGGACAGTACACTCTAAAATGAAATTTCTGCCATCATTTACTCACCTTAATGTCATTCCAAACTTGTTTGACCTTCTTTCTTCTGTGGAACAAAATATATTCTGGAAAATGTTTTCTGACCATTCAACGAAAGTCAAAGGGTTCCAGTGTTGTTTTGGTTCCTCCGTTTTAAATTGGGTTAAAAGTCATCATTAATGCTGTCAGTGCAGAGTATTCATGCCCATCATTCCTATTATACCAAGTATGGACTATTCAGGAACAAATATGTGTGTAAATTACGTACTTGAAGACTTGAAGACACAATTATTGGTAAATTTGACCCACTGGTTATTCTAACATTGTTTGGAAAGCAGTCATTTTGCTTCTATCCAAAGCAACATGATCAAGAGCACAACTTACTGATTAATAGACGATAAAAATAAATCTTCTGGATTTCAGTCATTTTAGATGTTGTGAGTTTAGGTATCACAACATTATAACAAAGCATAAAAGACAGATGATCATTTTGAGATAAATATTACAATCAAATTCGACATGAAATGAAAATTCATCCTATCATCTATTTAGTCAATTTAGTAAATTTATATTTTATTGGTCTTACACATCTCACATCTTAAAATCCAACTCAACAACCAATGGATAGAACCAAGTCCCATTTTACATTTTCTTTCTTTTTTTTCCCCCAAAATTATTTTTCCTCAGATGTAAGTAACAATATGGAAGAAAAGATCTGTCACTAATTTTAAACAAATTTTAAAGTTTAACTTGTAGTTACCAACATAGATGCCAGCAATGGTAACCTAAATGTAAAAATAGGGGTAATTAACATGCACAATTAAATATCCAAAATCAACCAATAAACATTATTCATTATTAATAACTGATACAGTACCAATATATTGCCCATCCCTACCTAGCCACAGACAAATAAATAAATACATCCACATTGCGCTCCATTGTTAACATCCTTTAA